GGGGGGGGATGATGGTGGGGGAACGGAGCAGACCTTTATCATTTTTCTCTTGTCCTGGAGAAAAACAACGTTAATTCGGAATTTTTCGGTCGAAGACTGCTCGAGGCTCGCCCTGCAACAGCAGCAGCAGTATAAGATTGCTGGGGAATTCCTGCCAACAACACACTGAGCAAGTCGCAAGCCACTGTTGTCGCCCCTGGCCTCAGGCACACTAGTGCGTATACCACGAGTGATTGCACCACACCGTTGACTCTTGAATTGAGACAATTCCTAAAAAAATGAAGATGAGAACTTCGTATGGTACAACATCTCTGTATCTCGCTCTGAAGACTTAAAAGTAAACATCGTTCACATTAGGGGGGGGGGGGGCAGGCGTTAAGTAACAGAGCCATTCGCAAGCTGCTAACAATTTCGCAGCTTTGTAACACAATTCATTTTGCTTTGAAGCTTTCAAGCAAATTACTTAAAGAAAAAAATTGATAAAATGTTTGTAAGCTCACAAACTAGTACGAAATACGTTTGTGTTAACAGGTATCGGAAAATATCCATCTCCATTTTTTTTTTTTTTACCTGGCTGTTCAATATCAGCTCCAGAAAGCGGGGTCCTCCGCCTTTTTTTTTTTCGAGGCTAACGTTGTCCGCCCCAGTGCCATCACTTCCGCGCTCCGCTGTCCCCGGCGTCGTCCTTGCAAACTCGTCCGTCCTCGCACACCTCGCGTAGTACTACTCCATCCTAATTCGGCCTGACGCCGCGCCCCGCCACACCCCGCCACGCCCTGCCACGCCGCGCCCCTCACACCCCGCGGAGCCACGACGCCACGCTCTGAACTTGCTGCCGGTGCTGTCAGGGCGTGAATGCCACGGCGGCCCGCCCGGCTGAGCAAGGAGCGGAGGGACCCTTTTATGGTGCAGATTGCGTCGAGTTGAAGAAGGGGTTGGAGGTCGTGGCGGGGCGGGGCGGGCGGGGCCGCGGCTCGAGGGGGCAGCCGGCACCGACACACCTTTTCATTATTTTTCCGGGGCTGCCGCTGCCGCTGCTGCTGCCGCTGCTCGTGATGTTGATGAGAGCGCTGGCCGCCACGCCGTCCTATCCCATCCTTTCAGGGCTCGGCTCCCCACCGCCTAAAAGTTTCGCTGCTCCGGGCTGAATTTGTCATACCTTGTTGCAGTGCAAATGGTGAACGTGGAAGCGGTGCTGGGCCACCGGGCCACCCTGCCCTGCGACATCTCGGCCAACCGCACCGACGACCGCGTCCAGATGGTCATGTGGTTCCAGGTCCTCGCCAGCAAGCCGCTCTTCACGTGAGTATATCTTGTTTTCTATTCGATCGCCGGTGCGAGTTTTTTTTTTTTTTCAGACCACCGTTCTGCTTGAGAAAAGGTCGCAAAAAAGCAGTAAACTGGGATTATGCAATCGCTGGTCGCTGGTGTTTGACGTACGCACTGGTGTCATGGGGGGTGTCACTCTTGCCTGGAAGACAAAAAGCATTGGGGAAAATCCTGTCAACCCCATCAAAGGAGATGAAATGGCAATAGGCTAAGAGAGCAAAGGGTTAGGTCGGAAACAAATGAATACTTTCTTTATCAACAAAAAAAAAGGTTTGTTTACTTAGGGGCCACTCAGCGAGCTAGAACTCTGCTCTGGCCCAAAGGGAATGAAGCTTAGAAGGGAAAAGGGTACTCCCCCCCTTCACTTACCTGCACGCTCCCTGGCACACTGACGCGCTCACACTCGCGCTCAGGTGGCCATGGCAACGCTGCCTGCGGCTGCGGAAGGCAGGAAAGGCGCGTCTGGATGAATCTGGCCCGCGTTTATTTAACTATTGGATTTACCCTCCCTTTCCCCATAACTTTCCACGTCCATGAATTATTCTTTTCTGTCGCTCAGTTGCTCCAAGTCTTTATACGGCCGTGGTGTTTGGCCGTGCCTCTTGAAATACTAAAAGAAAATGGCATTACCTTCACTTGTTGGAACGTTTGATTTGGGCTTTCAATGAAAGATTTAATTCAGTTTTTGTTTTCTCGCCTTGTGCCCGTGTTTGTAAAATTATCATGATTTCTTGTCTGCCATTTCAATAGAGGACTTGCCAACTCTGTTCAACCCTTTTTCCTTTCTTTTTGCTCATGCCTACTACCCCTAAGCGCTCTCCATATCACACGTTTAGACCCCCACCCCATCCTCCGTCATTGGTTCCGTTCGTGCCATTGGGGGGGGGGGGCAGGG